AAAAATTTCAAAATTTTATAAGGGGTTACATCGTTAAAATTGTTAAAAATTGGCAAAAATTTGAATTTTTATAAATTTTAAATTGAGTATGCAAATTTATTAACCTAATAAAAACTAACACAGGAATGCTTTCCGAATTAAAATTAATGCGTTTTTGACGTAGTTATAAAGTTTTTAAAATATCGTTTGTCGAAAAAAATTGTGTTATAAACATATCGATTCAAGAAATACCAGAATATAAAATATTACGAGAACTGCAAATGATTTTTAATAGAAAACTTATCATTAAATAAAGAAATTCAAAAGATTTATTTTGTTAAATAAAGTTATTGATAAGAGTATCCTTCATATCGAATATTGAACTTAAAAATTCCTATTAATTCCCCTACGCAGTGCTTCACTGATTTATGGAATAGTTTAGTTGAAAGCGTTTCCTAGAAACCTTTGTGACTTTCACTGCACCGCTGCGGTTACCGAGTGTTGGTGAAACTACACAGGATGACTGATTAGCAAATGAATGGATTGAAATGGTTAACGGATGTTGCATAAACAACTCAATGCCCGCAATTCCTTCCACTCGCATTCGCCCCTTTTTGGCCTCAACTGGGTGGCAGGGCCAACCGCAGTAGTAGCCACAAAGCGAGGCCTTTCCCCCAACAATTTCTCGCTCTTTCGAAACCTTTTTGGAAAACCACAAGCGTCCACAGCTGCTGTGAAATAGCCAAAGGCGATGTGGCAACGTGCAAGGGACCCGCGACTGTCAAATTAAATTAATAAACACAACAATTGGCAACAGAGGCAAGGGCCCCAGTCCGAGAGTCCTCCAAGTCCTGCCAGTCCTGCCAATCCCGGCCAACTGTCCCAACTCCCACAGAGTGGCGTAGAGCCGGGAAGGATGCGATTCCTGGGTGCCAACGTCGGCAATTGTAAATGAAATTTTTATCAAATTGAGTTTCGGGCAACGGCACTGCGGCAAGGACTCAACTTTTGGCAAGCCCACGGCCATAACGATCCTGCACACCCTTCCTGCGGATTACCCAGCCACCCGCTTTGTCTGTCTCAGGCCAGGGCATTTTGTATTAATTACAACATAGCCAGCGGTATTGGCGCTCAAAAAAGTTTCAACATAATTGATTTCATTTTTATTCGCGCATCGACGGCAGCTTTCTCCGCTTTACGGTCCATAACTGGCATACACTCCCCCCAAAGAGTCGACTGCTGTTGCATTAAAGTGCAAATAAATTGATTGAATTATTGGCTGGACGAGAAGATGCGTCGTCGGAGAGGTTTCAGTGCAGAAATTTACTTTTTAATTTACTCGGAAAGCCGCCGAGTGAAAAGAATAACAATTTTTCTGTGCGGCTTAGCAACGCTGAAAAGTTGATAAACTCCTTAATGCTCATTAAATATTCATACCAATTAATTAAATATCAAAAATATAAGATGCAATTTTCAGGAAGTATATCCTCAAAAGCTTTTATCTATTTTATGTGAAGTTTTTGAAAGAAAATGCTTTAAAAAATCCCAATTTTTGGGTATATTGATATGGCTCAATATCGTACAGGGTATGTAAGCAAATGGCCACGAGATTGGTTTTTATTTTTCCGAGTTTTTTGCACCATTCCTGGGATGGCACATTCTGCTATCATTGTCCTGCGGCAGTGCGTTTGGTTGGATATTCCTTTTTTTCCACAGCCACAGATTGAGTTACGCCCGTTTGTCCTCTTCAACTGGCAGTCCACGTTGTCCTTGTCGTCGCCTATCAGTCGCACTCGTCCTGGCCATGGCCGTGGCCGTGAACAGGATGCGGGATGCTGTACGTAGATTTTTGTTTCTTCTGCTGCTCAGACATTGGACTCCCACTGGGCGGCGGTCGTTGGTTTTGGTTATTGAAAAATCGGATATTGCGTATTTTTTTTAATTATGAAAGAGGCGACTGGATATTAAGATCCATTTGGATTTAAATTTAATTAAAGTTCACTTTGCACAGAGTCAAGCTTTGAGGGATTGTTGGGGGCAAAGCCCGACTTATGTCGCATCTCTCGAAAATGTTAAATAAAACTTAAAGTTGTGGCAAAGAAGAGGACGACACATATAGTTGCAAAAATTCCTCCTAATTCCCAGAACTTGTGCATACATGCAGAAATATTTTAACCCGCTCGAGCAGTGCAAAGTCCGTTGAACAAATAAACTTGAAAATACATATCATAAATGCATAGTTTCCTCCCTTTCTTTTTTCGGGCCATGGCCAGACTTTGCTATTCATGTTTGGCCAGACGCTGGCAGGATCAGGGCGAGAGGTGGTAGGTAAGGGACAATATCAGGACCAATGGCAAGGACAAGCTGCTTCTTTTGCTTCTTTGGCTGCCTCTGCAGTGTGGCAAGCTCAAAATTTTAATGATATCAAATACACACGGAGCTGAGCCAGAATATATTCATATATATATGTATACAAGTATATCTGAGCACAATGCAGTCGGCATTAAGTGGAAAAGGATGCGGCAAAGGATACACTCACACATACCAGTAGGATAGGCAGACATGCATGCGTAGATTTTATGTATTTGGCTCACGATTTAAGCTCCAGAGGAAACGGAGAGGGAGATGGAGGCGAAGACACTCGCTGCGGCATAAAATCCGACAATGTCCTACCCACAGGATATGCGCCAAACGCAGCCGACAATCAAGCCAGCCCGAGATGATGTACTTAATTCTTCGCAGTCGCTCTTTTTTTTCCTAGAGTCTTTTCCTATTTAATAAACTGCATGCAGTTTTCCGCTCTGGGAAATGCAAATGAAACTGCAAGAAAAATGGTGGGGGGGAGCAGCGGGGGTGAAATCCTTGGCTGTGCCACCAGCTGCACCGCAGGAGTCTAGAGTCTAGACCTTGACGGCCATATCGTCGTCCTTGTCGGCGGTGTCGCCTCCGATAAGCATACGCCCTGTGGGCGCGCCAGATATTTTAATACGTGGCCATTATCCCGGCTCTGCCGGCGATAAATCACACCGGGACATCTTTGTGTGCCAGCAGCAGACGCAACACCATTGTGGACCACCAGCAGTCCGCGTGCACTCGAAGAAAAAACCTACAAAAAAGTAATGTAAAATATAGAAAAGGAAGTTAACTGAAGGAATGAGGTTTTAGTTATAATTATAGTTGGAAAAAGGGTAAAAACAGCTTATATGAAAGACTTAAATCTAAATGAAACAAAGTAGTTATAATTTGATAAACATTTTTCTAAGAGTGTTAGATGTAGAATCCATTGAAAAGGTTGCTCTGGAAACTGGAACAGTCGGGATTTGGATGGGGGTTTGCTGTACCCGGCTAGCAGACGTTTCTCTGGTCATATCTGAGTCGCTGCATCGCGGGCACGCTCATAAAATGTTGCGCCTGCTCACACCCTTGGTGCACAAAGTCCACTTCCTCCTATTTCCAGCTTCAGGTCCATCTCTCCCCCTCTCTCCTCCCGTTGGACGACAAATTTGCTTAGAATTTGAAATGCAAGCCAGACAATGGCCGCAGACGGGGACAGACAGACAGAATAGAATGAGGATAAGGATGAGGATGCGCTGGATATGAAAAAGAAATAAAAGCTGCCACCCAGCTTCAGCTCTGTGAGTGGCGGTGCAAGGATTGTTAGTCGGGATCTGCATTATTATTATTATTATTACAGTTGCAAGTTCAAGTTCATGGTTGACTCCGGACCAACTCTCGACGTGAAATGGAAACCCTCGTAATGGGGGATTGAGAGACTGCCGGATAAAAGATAGGGCTCCACACAGAAAATTAGATTAAGAATTAGATTAGAAAAAAATTTAGATATGACAACTGTGGTCTCTTTGCTTTGTTATGACTACAAATATAGTTTAGTCTTAATCTTACATTTAAACTTGATTTAAAAGATTTTATCTTTAGAGACTTTCGTCTTTAGTACTACAATGTTATATTAGTTATATCATATTTTACACCTTGTTCAATTGAACTCTTTGAGGGACATATCTTGCCCTGGAATCGACTCTCCTTATAGGCACCCTTATAAACAGTTTATGTCCACTCTGTCTCCACGACTTTTGGCCCTTCTGGCCTGCGCCAGTTCATCTTGTCACAATGCCAAACTCTTCGCTTCACGCTCTCTCCGTTCGGATGTCCCTGGCACTCTGGCCATGGTGAAACTTTTGAATAATTCCGTGGACATTCAGAGCGACATCATCATGCTTCATCGGCGCGCCCCGCCCCTTAATGCACCGATGCCAGTCGGAACTGATCCCTGCCCCTCATCCGCTTCCGTGTCGCATCTGCATCTTGTGCCCCGCGTCCTGTGAGCTCGGACCGTTTTATGGCCATGTCCGTGTCTGCTGTCTGCCCTCGTGGCCTTCAGACGCTCGTAAACAAGCGACACAAGTTGGACACTGCCAGGGCAGCATCAGCAGGAGCAGGAGCATCAGCAGGAGCAGAAGCAGGAACAGGAGTAGGAGCTGGGTGGGATTGCGACTGGGGACACTGGGAATGGGGATCTAATGTGCTGGGCGTGGCTTTGCATTTATTCGTGTGTAAAATTTTAATTGAAATATATATTTAAGCAGGGGAAGAGCCGATGGCGACGGCGACGAGTGTCATTTGTATCCGTAGCTGTAGCTGTATCTGTCGCTGGCCGTGTATCTGCATCTCGCAGATTCGGATAGTGGATAGCGAATGGGGATACGGATGCGGATGCGCGTGTGCCTCGCTAATGTTTTCATTTGCATGCGAAGGACATCAGCCCGGAAGCGTGTTTATATGCAAATGCGTCCTGTGATTATCGAGGCTGCTCTGTAATGTCTGTTCCCGACTGCTGCCGATCCCCAGCTGCCCTCCATAACCACCTCTGGGTGTTAACTATTTGTTTTTGTGCGCTGATTTTCGTTTTTGGGTATCCGGGGGCGTGTACCTTTGTCTGGCCAGTGAAGCTTGTTAAAAATATTCGCAAAATTAAACACATTTTAACCGAACTTAAAGTTTATTTAAGGCAGAGATTCCATATACAGCTTGCGAATCCCTACGATATTGATCGGCGGACTAAAGATAGTGGCATTGGGCACAGCCTTATCACTTTCGTAATTCTCTCCGGGGGCACAGAGGGCTTTGAAAATTGGATCACGGTGCTTGCAGGCGCTTCCCGGGACACCGGACATCCGGTAGATGGGTCGCCGTACCATGAGATCCGTGCTGAAGGCGCACGCAATGATAAAGTTGTGGTTTTCACTGACAGTGAATCGTAACGCAGAGCAGCCTATGTGAGTGTTCTTTTCTGCCATCAAAAGTGCAGTATTGGCGATGTCCCTATAATAAGTCTTTGATTAAAGAATTCCGCCCAACAAATGCAACAAAATAAGCTTACGTATTTTCCAAAGTAGCAGGCAAGTAGATAGCCGTTTTTAAATTGATATAATCCAGACTTCTAGTCCAATCTTGAATGATTCGCAGTGTCAGTTCCAGGTCCTCCAAGTCTTCCTTTGGCCCCACGTAGTAAACGGCATCGTGTATGTAGCCCACATAGTAGAACTCCTTTGAACTTAGGCAGAACTTATCGGTGGAGCAGGTGATGACCGCCAGTCGAGCGAATTCCTCGAGCTCCGTGGAATAGCTCATCCGTGCCATGCGGGCCGCCGGCTTAAGGTATATTCCTGCTCCACTAGCCGTGTCATTGCGGAACTCATTGATGGCAGTTAGCAGGGCGTTGCGGAAGGTCATCATCGGAATGGTCTTGGCGCCTGACGGACACCTTACGTTAAATTTCTGCGGGGATTCGGAGGACACAACTAATTAAGTTTCTCATGTGGGATATTTTTCATCTTACATCCGGATTACGGCAGACCAAGTGGTTGCCTTTGCAGTACGGCGTAGTGCAATAGTCGATATTCCTGGCCCAACCCAGGGAACAAATGCTGATCAGAACAGCAGCTATTAAACCGTTCAGTTTCATTTCTACTCAAAGAATGCAACTATATCAGAAAATATCAGTTTATAGTCAATCGCATTGCATAGCTCCATAGAAACACCTGTCCCCAGGGTGTACATATGAATATTTCTCTGCCATACTAGTTTCTTCAGAGAAATAAAATGCCTGGAGAAGCACCTGTCTTTGTCTTACTTATTGTATATTTCCCTTAAAAAATTTACTTCTAGTGAACTGCTTATTTTTAAGAAACTTGATGACCACACTCTGTTTTGGGAAAATGTTAATTTGATCTTCGTTTTCGGAGGTAACTTTTCAAAAGGATAGGGAGAAAACCTTATACCTTGCTCTCTGTATTGTATGCTAAAACTGTACCTATTTTCTTTATGAAAATTAAATCCGAAACACATTTATTCTTACTTGTGTTCTTTCTTCTATAATAATTTAGTTACTATTCTGTTTTAAGGATATATTTTTTTAAATTTAATTACCAAGGTTTTTTCTCTACGCTTGGTTAGACAAACCCTGTTCGTTTCACTCTAACTAGATGAGGATATCATAACGCGATGCCTCAGAGGCTGTCAATTGGCGCGATTAAAGCTGCCACATCCTTTGACCGACGTGGAGTGTGTCAATCGAACAGTGTCCTTAGAGGGATGTGCTCATTAACGGCACAGCAGTTGTTGATATTTGAAAAATCCATTAGGACCGCCTGGCCTTCTGGCATGACCGCAAGCCACCCCAACTCCTAGCCCACCCCCGATGTCGCTGCCCCTTCTTAACGCTTCGTGTGGCATAAAATTTCTATACAAAATTTATGTTAAAATTAATGAAGAGCTCTTTGTAGCGGGGGTGTGGCCGAGTGTTGAGGTGTTAAGCGTTAAAAAGAGACCGGCGAAATGTAAATTCTCAAACAGCCCGGGCATGGCTCCAGCTCCGGCTCCTGTTGACCCAGGCCTCCGGCTGGCTAGCAATGAATGTCATTTGGATTAAGCGTTGGATAAGTTTTTAATTTATTGTGCACACAACACCACGTCTGCTAGTCTCTGGTCTGCCGCTTCGCCAGGTTAAGTGGGGGTGTAAGTGTAGGTTATCTTGGCATGTCTATCGGAGCGTTCCCATCGCGGCCACGTGCCGTGTCCCACGCCAAGGAGAGACCTCCTCCTCCTTCGCTTAGTTCAGCTTGAGCTGGCCGGGCTCAGTGCCTGCGTGTAGGACCAACAACTCAGGGGTCATGGGGGCGGTAAGGGTCACCCAGGACTTGGGCACGCCGGCATCATCGCGAGCCGATTGCAGGGCCTGCTGCAGGGCGAAGGCCACCGCGATGGACAGACAGATGGCGGGCTCACCAGTGGCTAAAAAAAAGAGATTCGCGTTAATAGAAAGTTTTAAGCTTAATGACAGAACAACTTACCCTTGGACCTCATGAAGCCGGCCTTGTTGGGGCTCTTGGGCAGCAGTTCAATGCGCAGATCCGTAGGTATATCCTTTGCTCCCGGAGGCTTATACGTCCAGGTGCGATTTGTGAGGCATTCGCCCGTCTGAGGATCCACAATCACCTGCTCGCTGGTCCAGTAACCCAGGCCCATCATAAAGGCACCTTCAATCTGACCAATGTCCACATTGGGGTTCAGACTCTCGCCAGTATCCTCCAGGATATCCACGCGTCCCACAATGTAGTTGCCGGTGAGCACATCAAGTTCCACTTCCGTAAGGCAGAGACCGCACACGGAGTAGGGATCCATGTCACCTTGCTTGCACTGATCGCTGGCAATGAGGTTGATCTTGCGGTTGTAGGCCTCATTGATCAACTGCTGCCAGTCCTGAGGCTTCACCTCCTCGCGCACTGGCTCCAACCGCTGGTTGAGGGTCTCGCAGGCCTTGCGCACAGCAAAGCAAAGGGTTTCGCTGCCCACTGCTCCTCCGGTGACCATGGAGTTGGCTCCATTGATGGTGTCGCTCGCCTCGATGCGCACCTGCTGCATCGGAATGCCCAGGGTGTGGGCCACCACCTGCGAGATCTTTGTGTTCATACCTGGTAGATAGAGAGAGGAAAATAATATATTAGATAAGTCAGAAATTATTAGATATCCAACACTTACCTTGTCCCATCTCAATGCCTCCGTGGGAGACCACCACGGTGCCATCGCTGTGGTAAATAGCCACCGTGGCTGGGTACTGTCCAAAGTAACCGATCTGGTATTCCATGATGCACAGACCCAATCCGCGCTTGCGCCAGCGGTTCTCCTTGTTGTGGGCAATAATCTCTGCCCTGCGTTCCCTATACGTGGTGCTCTGCAGGAAGCGCGGCATCATTTCGCCCATCTTGTGGGCGGGAAGCAGATTGGCAAAACGCACATCCACCGGATCCAGGCCGGTCTCAAAGGCGATGTGCTCAATGATGTTCTCCATCATGGCAATACCTTCGACGGAGCCAGGAGCACGGCACGGTGTGTTGGACGGCGAGTCGGAGTAGACCAGGTAGCCGTCCAGCTTGTAGTTGTCACTGAACTCGTAGCAGTTCTTGGACAGCATCACAGTGTGACCGATGGGCGATTCATTGGACAGATAGCCTGCATCCTCATAGAAGCGGCTCACAATTCCCGAAATCTTGCCAGATTTCTGCACGAAAAAGTCATAGTCGCAGTGGAAGGCCCAGCGCTTACCCAGGGTGGTCATGATGGACTCCAGGGACTGGACAAACCTAATGGGTCGGTTTAGCTTATGGGCAGCCACAGCGGCAGCGGCGGCGGCCACGTTGCAGCGGGTAGCCTTGCCTCCGTATCCTCCTCCTATGCGGCGGGTCTTCACCTGCACCTCGTTGCTCTTGACGTTAAGTATGTTGGCAACTACGTCCTGCGTAAGATCCATCCACTGGGTGGCCGCGTAAACTTGCATTCCGCCTTCGAAGGGCAGCACCACCGTGGTCTGCGGCTCCATGTAGTAGTGGTACTGCAGGCCCATGTCCAGATGCCCGGAGGAGCTCACGTCGAAAGGTTCCTCCATCTGAAGAACGTCAATGGTGGACTTGATCTTCTGCTCCAGGCGCTTGCTGTCGCCAGCCTCGGAACCGATCTTCTCCAGCACGTGTTTCATGCTGGGCAGCAGCTCCTTGGCTCCACCTTCGTAGCTAAGCTTCACCAGCTCTGCTGCCCGATTGGCCAGCGAGTTGGAATTGGCTAGGATCATGCCCACTGGCTGTCCATAGAACTTGATCTCTCCGGTGGCGAAGAGCTCCTCGTCTTGCGGGAAGAAGAAGTCATCCCTGACCTTGGGTCCAATGTAGTTGGTTCCGGGAATATCCTTGGCATCCAGATAGGCCACCACTCCGGCAATATCCAGGGCCGGCTTAGGGTCCACTTGGGTAACCTTGGCGCCCACTTTCTTAGCAGTCACGAAAGCCGCCCACAGCTGGTTGTGCTGAGTGGGCAGATCGTTGACGTAGGTGGCTTCACCGGAGCACTGGATCAATCCCTCGTGCTTCTCCGTGGCCTTGGTTATCGGGTAGTGCTCCTGGAAAGTCTCAAAGTTCTGCTGGCCACTGGAAACCGGTCGCTGGAGCAGAGAACCTCCGGTCACAAAGCGACTGGCCAGTCCTTGCTTCCGCTGGGCAGCCGTCTTCAAGAGAAACTTGTAGAAGAGGCCGCAGGCCAGTTTCCGACGATAGATGGGCGAGGCATCCGGAAGGACGGCATCAGGTTGCAGCAAATCGGACAGCTGTCCGAAGGCCTTCTCCACCAGTCCGTTCTCGAAGAGATTCTTACCCAGAATCAACTTTTCAATGACCGTGGCATGCACGAACTCTGGATTGATGCCGCCGAAGCAAATACGGGCAGACTTCACCTTGGAGTCGGCTTCCAGTTCCAGGAGGAAGGCGGCGTTCACATAGGCATGGGCATTCTGGGCGCGGGGCATAATCTATGAATGTAGAAGGGTCAAAGGGCATACAAGATTATAAGTTTGTCTTATTATACATGAAAATCATTTCCCTGTTATCTTATCTATTTTGTCTGATTTTAAAATCTAAAGATAACAGTGTCTTTAGACCCCACTGATAATCAAGGAATGCATTATATAAGAGCTCTATCCCAGCTTATAAGAAAGTATTTTAAGTCAGAAGAAAACTCACCTTGTAGGAATCGAAAGCAAAGCGCTCCTTGGGATATGCCGGCAGCACCAGACCGCGAATAATCTTTCCCTCACTGGCAGAGCCAAGATAGCTGGCCAGGCTCACGGTCTCCTGTTTGTCCACCGCCTGCTGGACAATCACTTGGGCATTCAGGGCCTCCAACACAATGAAGACGTCCGAGGGGAACTCGGGGTGGGCGTGCTTGATGGCCAGGTTGCCCGCCAGAGTGCCGGCCTGGGTTAATGCGAAACGGTTTGATAAACAACAAGTACTCAAGGTGTTTTGAAATAGTCATGATAAGATAGAAACGGAGGGCTTACAACTGATAAGACACTCGAAATTTGACTTACATTGCGCACTGGGACATTGGCGATCCAATCGAGATGTTGCCACACCTGGGACAGATACTCGAAGCCTCGGGTCTTCTCCAACTGCCGGCAGATCTCCATGGTCTCGGTTAGGCTCAAGTTTCCGCCAAGAGTAAGGGAAGACATTTCGGCGTTTAGACTGTAACCTTTGAGCTCCTTCAGGCCTGACACATCAATGAAGGCTTTGATGTCCTGCGGACGCCTATAGACTCCATGGGCCGTGTTTCCAGCCACCAGCATGTAGGGTAGCTTCTCCTTAACGGCACCCTGCAAGGCGGTAAAGAGCTCCTCCAGATTCTCGGGCCAGCTCCAGCGACTACCGTCGGCATACAGCTGACTGCCCTTCGGTTGCTGCTTCTTGCAGCTACCCGAGCAGGTTTGTCCCGTCTTGGGGCACTGCTTGGTGCTCAGATCCTCGATATCGATGCACTCCGCCGGCACCTTGATGTTGCTGTCCACGGCAAAGGACTTCATGGCATCCAGAATGGGACGATAGCCAGTGCAGCGACAGATGTTGCCACCAAAGGAGTTCTCCACCTCGGCCATGGTGACCTTGCCGCCCTTGGACTTTAGCAGGCCGTACATGTTCATCACGATGCCCGGCGAGCAGTAGCCGCACTGGGTGCCGTTCATCTTGGCCAGTCGCTCCTGGATGGCATGGTACCCGGCCCGCTTGTTGCCCAGACCCTCGGAAGTGGTCACCTCCAAACCCAGGCAGGTGTTCAGCAGCGTGAGGCAGGAGTTGACTGCCCAGGTGCGCGGTTCTCCGGTCTCCGGTCGCAAACCGGTCAGGGTGCACACACAGACACCGCAGCCGCCCTCCTGGCACATGAACTTGGTGCCAGTGAGCCCGGCATGCTCGCGGATAAAGGTGTTCAGCGAGATATCCGCCGGCAGGGAAGCCAGGTTAACTAAGGGGAAACAATAGTTGGTAGTTGGCGTAAGTGGGGGGCAGTACAACTTATCTAATCAGTCGCTCGCCTCTTAATCGCAAAAGGTATCACATGTCAAAACATTTGAAATAAATAACTAATAACCCTAGTATTATTAGATTTTTTATGTAAATACTTGGAAATAACAGAAATTTCTTTTCTAGAGGCTCAGTCTCATTTGTACAATCGTTCTGCTTTTGGTATGGATAAGGTAAAGTTCTTTAAACTCCCTCAAATTTGAACAAAATTAATTTAAATAATTTCTAAACCAGTTTTCAGTCACGAAAATTACTTCTACAGAGTTAATTAGTTATTTCATAGTCAAAACGTAGTATTCTTGCGTTCCAGTTCGTTGTTTCTACGATCTCGTGAATGACAGGCAATCCCACATTAAACTAATGGTAATTAACTGCCCACCAGCCTATGTCTATATATACACACCTTCATAGCTGGTGCCGTTGATTGTTATTTTTCCACTCATTATCTGGGTGTTATATAAGTCCTTGGATCACTTGAAACTGTATAAAGACTTGGAATTGTTGTGAAATTAATTGCAGCCTTTGTCGTCTCTTCAATTGACGGTAGTGTTCCGAAATTTCGTGATAGAATTTGTTCTGGAAACTATTAATTTCACCAGATTTGAAAGCAGGGTCACTTGTAGCTCGCGTGCTTTTTACACGCCGATCTCCTAGCGACTGTAGGTCCGGAACCTACCGGGTCCGCTTTTTATTCGTTCTCCGTAGCTCCCAATAGAGACTCTCTATCGAGTCCAAGTTCAAGTTCGCCAGTACCCGCTCATAACTACCGTGTTTTCTCTCTCTCTCTCTCCGGCTCTCCACTTGGCATTAGATTATAACACTCGGAATTGTTATCTCGCCACCGATTCCAATTACTCTCCCTAGCGGCGGCACAACCAGAGAGCTTTATCATTAAATGATTTGTTTAGATGATTTTGTTTTGCTCAGCTTTCTATACAAAGAACCTCCTAGCTGGAACTCAAGTTGGAGAGTGGAGTGACATAATATATGTACATATGTATGTAACATAAACAACGAGAACTGGAAAGTGGCAAAGCTTTTGTCTACATAGAACTCATACTCTGAAGACTCGAATTTCTTTGAATTGGAAGTGAAAATAATAGTTTATATAAACACTTCAGAGAAAGAATACAACACTACTAGACACATTTGGAAACGATTATTTGATTAATTTATTACATTTCATATCATTGATCATTAATTAGAAAATAATATTTACTGCAAGGTGAACGCCTCCACCTGGCTTCCAGAATTAAGCACTACAGTCTCTGGCGTAGTGGGTGCTCCTAACCGCACCCACTCCCTGGGTAGACCCGCATCTTTCCTGGCTGACTGGATGGCATGTTGCATGGCAAAAAGAACTCCGACAGCCAGGCACAAAGCTGGCTCACCAGTGGCCTTCGAACGCATAAAGCCCACTGGATTCGGGTTCTTCTGCAGCAGTTCGATGCGAAAGTCAATTGGAATATCCTTGGCTCCAGGAGGATGGTAGTTCCAGGTTCGGTTAGTGAGAATGCGACCAGTCTGACGGTCGTAGACCAGCAACTCAGTAAGATAGTATCCCAAACCCATAACAAAAGCACCTTCCACCTGACCAACATCGATCAGAGGGCTCAAGCTCTCCCCAGCATCCTCCAGAATGTCCACTCGACGGATCAGATGATTGCCAGTCAGGATGTCCAGCTCAAGTTCGGTTAGACTTAACCCGTAGATGTTGTAGTTCGGTATATCTCCCAACTTGTATGACTCCGTTGCGATAAGAAAAACGGACTCCAAGTAGGCAGCTTGGAGGACTTGCAACCAGGTTGCTTGGGATCCCAGTCGTTGCTTAAGTGGCTCCAATCGCTTGTTCAAAGTGTCACATGCTTTCCTCACGGCCAGACCAATCATCTCGCTGGTCATGGAGTTGGCTGTCAGCATGGAGTTGGCTCCACTCACCGTGTTGCTCGCCTCCACACGAACCTGTTCCAGAGGCACGCCCAGCACAAAGGCTGCTACCTGGGCCGCCTTAGTGTTCACACCCTGTCCAATCTCTATGCCTCCATGCGAGATCACAACAGATCCGTCTTCGTGGTAGATGGCAACCGTAACTGGATAAGTGAAGGCTATGCTGGTGTTCAACGGGAAACTCATTAGAGACAAACCCAGACCCCGCTTCCGCCATCGATTCTGGGTGTTGAATAGGTTAATCTGCTCCCGCCGTTTCCGGTATTCTGTGGTTGCCAGAAACCGCGGTAGGAGCTGAACCATTTTACTTCCCGGCTGAAGATTGACCAGGCGCACATCGGCGGGATCAAGCTGGCAGGAGAAAGCAATGTGTTCCAAGGCTGTTTCCGTCATGGCAATACCTGTGAATGAAAAGCACTATAATAAAGCTTTTACTTTTCCGATCATTAAGCAGTTAACTTACCCTCCGCTGATCCTGGCGCACGGCACCAAGTCGAACTGGGAGCATCAGTGACAATAGCACTTCCTCTGGCTCTAAAGTTCGAGTCGGTCAGGTTGTAGACATTTCTGAGGGCTGGTAGGGTTAAAAAATCCACCACACTCTCGTTTAGATTGCATCCAGCATCTTCGTAATAGTTATTTGTTAGCATGATGATCGATCCGTTGGCTCTGGCACGGAATTCATAATCCGAGCGACAGGCCCAGCGCTTGCCATTGCTTTCCATCATGGATTCAATGGTCTGAACGAATCGAGCTGGTCTTTTCAGCTTCGAGGCCACCAAAGCAGCTGCACAAGCCACTGGGTTGGCTCTCGTTACCTTCGCGCCATAGCCTCCCCCAACTCGTCGTACATTGAGCTGAATGGAGTTCACACTTACGCCCAACATGTGGGCAATGGCTCCCTGTGTGCCATCCATCCACTGGGTGGCACAGTATACTTGAAGGATGTTATCCAGAGGCACTACGATTGTTGTTTGGGGTTCCATGGTGAAGTGATACTGTGATTCAAGCTCGAGAATCCCTCTTCCCATGACATCGCCAGGCGCTAAAGGTGGCGACTTCGGAAGCTCCTTTTCTTCCTTTTTAAGCCGTACGATTCGATCGTTCTGTTTTTCAGCCAGAACTTGATTGATGCTTCTAAAGACTTTTCTTTGATCCTTGGCGTATGTGACCACAACTAGAGTGGCAGCATATACAGCAACATCCTGCGAAAGAGCTGCAATGACGCCCAAAGGCTGGTCATAGTATTTGACCTGCCCAGCAACGAATACTTCGTCCACCACTGGTGTTTGGACAGTGACAGTAAGAAAGTTATTGGCTCCTGGAATATCCTTGGCCGAATAAAAGGCCACAACGCCCTTGCATTTGAGAGCAGCCGAGGCGTCGATCTGCTCAATGGAGGCTCCAACTCTCTTGGCGGTCACAAATGCGCAGTAAACCGCATTCGATGAGGTCAGTAGATCGTTCATATAGGATGCTTCCCCAGAGCATTGAATGAGACCTGAAGGTTAATTATTATTAACAATTATTCAAAGCCATATGTTTTTATGGAAACTAATCTCACCTTCTAGCTTGAGCACTGGTTTTGTAACTGGATAGTTCTTTTTAATGGTCTCAAAGGATTGACTGCCGGAGGAGAGAGGTCTCTCTAAAAGTAATCCTCCAGTGCGATATCGTTCCCGAACTCGCTCTCTGGGTGCAGTGCCTAGGAGGAACTTGTAGAGCAGCGAGCAGGCCAGGATCTGCCGATATTCAGGAGATGCCTCCGGTGGCCGCTCCTCGGGCTGCAAACTAGATGGCAGCTGCTGGAATATCTGAGCCACCGTAGCGGAATCGTAAAGATCCCTGCCCGGGAGAAGCTGCTCCAATTCATCGTCGTGCACGTAGTCAGGTCGGATGTTGCCAAAGCAAATACGAGCAGAGCGCACAATTCTACGCTGGATATCCTGCCATTCGATTAGGAATCCTGCATTTACATAGGCATGCACATTCTGGGCTCTAGGAAGGATCTTATGTTTTGGAAAAGAAATGGAATAGGTTTACTGGAAAGTAGCTAATATGTTGTTGGTCTTACCTTGTAGGAGCCAAAGAGGAATCTGTCCTTGGGGTAGGCCTTCAGGATAAATCCACCCAATACCAGTTTTTGCGTAGTGTCTCCAAGATATGCCAGCAATGTCATTACCCTTTGAGTACTGGGATTATCGTAGACCAGAACGTGCACATCCAACGCTTCAAAAGTGATGAAGACGTCCGAGGGAAACTCAGAGTGCTGTTTCTTGATACTGATATTGCCCGCAAGTGTGCCGTTCTGTTTAAAATTTAAAATAATTTCATTAATAAATACAAAGAAAAGATAGTAATTTTAATTAAATAATTAAATATGGCAGAAGTTTTGATTTTTGTTATATGAGAATATTCAGATTTATAGAACGGAAAAATTTAAATTAGTTTACTAAAAATAAATCTAAAATAAACAAAGGCCATTCTTTTAATGTGCTTTTAACTTGAGTTGATTTACTATCTTTGTTGGAAAAAATTTGCGAAAGTTGATTGTCTTTTAATTATATACTCTATGATTTGCAAGGTTTGTATGCTTTGTACGAACACATGAGATTTTTAAAGATACATTCAATAACTGATTTTAAATGTATGCAGATAGAAAGCAACACAGAAAATATAAAACTGTATTCTCTAGAGAGTAATTGATTCTAAATCCAAATATAAATAAATTAAATTAATTATAACAAGGAAAGAGCATTCTGTAGCACAGACTCCTAGCTTCTTTGCTCAACTCCGTTTTTAGTATTGGCCAAAACGAGTTTTTCGATATAAAAGGTTTACTCACATTTCTCACCGGCACATTGGCAATCAAGTTAAAGTGCCGCCATAACTGAGAGCAATATTCGAATCCGGGACGCTTGGCGGCCAGCAGAAATAGCTGCATGGCATCCGTCAGCGTCACATTGCCGCCGAGGAGCAGGTGATCAGCCTCGATGCTGGTCTGCCTCAGCTCCGGCACCATGTTCACGTCGATGAAGTGCTTTATATCCCTGGGTCGCCGGTAAACTCCATGAGCTGTATTCCCGGCCACCAGGATGTATCTCTCCCCATTGCTAACCTGAGCTAGAGCTGAGAATAGCTCCGCCAGGGACTTGGGCCAGTACCAGTGGCTCCCATCGCTATCCACCAGCGGTGGCCTCGAGCAGCTTCCCTTGCACGACTGTCCAGTCTTCGGACAGAGCAGCTCGAAAGAGTCTTCAATATCGACGCACTCGGGAGGAATCTCGACGGTGCTATCCACCGCAAAAGATTTCATGGCATCTAGGATGGGTCGATAGCCGGTGCAGCGACAAAGGTTGCCCCCGAAAGCATCCTCCACCTGCGACATGCTCACCTGGCCGCGGTGCTGTTCCAGCAGCCCGTACATGTTCATCACAAATCCCGGCGAGCAGTAGCCACACTGGGTACCATTCATCTGGGCCAGGCGCTTCTGGATGGGATGGTAGCCACTCTGCTGGTTCCCCAGCCCCTCATCCGTCATTATCTCTGCATCGTCGCAGGTGTTGAGCAGCGTTAGGCACTGTCGAGTAAATACAAGGTGTTAGAGAAAGTCCATCCTGGTGGGAGCTACCTACCGAGTTAGCTGCTCGAGACTGCACCTCCTGTGTGACTGGGTGACGCCGGCGAATGACGCAGACACAGGAGCCGCAACCGCCCTCCAGGCACATGTACTTGGTGGCCGTCAGATGTAGGTGCTGTCGCAAAAAGGCGTTGAGGGTGGTGTCCGGGGCGTAGTCCGCCGCCAGCACCTCGTAGGGGAAACCGTTGACGCTGAATCTAATGCTCATCGCTGCAGAGTCGTTGGTCGAATGGAGCGCTCTCGGCCAGGCGCTCCTATTTCAAAGCGCTGCTGAAACCTGATTACCCGGTAATTAGGCTAAACGGGTTCGGGCAGATAAAAGTGCCATCAAAGCTGACACTGCTTTTGCTTTTAGCTGCTTTCTTCGGTCGGTCTTATTGCTAAATCTACAATTAAGGCAGATCCAAGATCGAATGCGGGTCACTGAACCATATGTTAAGCTTACCAAGTAGTATGTTATTTTTCAGTAAATGTTAGTAAAAGTATAGAAAATATAGAAAAGAGCGTAATTTTAAAAAATTAAAATGAGGGCGCTATTTTTGGTATTCCGTTTTTGCTATACCTTAAAAGTTTGCAATTTGATGAAAGCTTTTCTGTGTTAGTTTTTATTAATTTAACAAGCCATCATTTATTTGAATTATTTTCCGAATTTATTATGAAATTAAATCACAAAACTTTGTGAAAACAACTTAACTAAACCAAATTCTATACCATTACTGCAGCGCAAATGCTCCGGCGTAGTTGGTGCTCCTAACCGCACCCACTCCCTGGGTAGACCTGCATCTTTCCTGGCTGACTGGGTGGCATGTTGCATGGCAAAAAGAACTCCAACAGCCAGGCACAAAGCTGGCTCACCAGTGGCCTTCGAACGCATAAATCCCACTGGATTCGGGTTCTTCTGCAGCAGTTCGATGCGAAAGTCAATTGGAATATCCTTGGCTCCAGGAGGATGGTAGTTCCAGGTTCGGTTTGTAAGGATGCGACCCGTTTGGCGGTCGTAGACAAGCAACTCAGAAAGATAGTACCCCAAACCCATAACAAAAGCACCTTTCACCTGACCAACATCGATCAGAGGGCTCAAGCTCTCCCCAGCATCCTCAAGAATGTCCACTCGACGGATCAGATGATTGCCAGTCAGGATGTCCAGCTCAAGTTCGGTTAGACTTAACCCATAGATGTTGTAGTTCGGTATATCTCCCAACTTGTATGACTCCATTGCGATAAGGAAAACGGACTCCAAGTAGGCAGCTTGGAGGACTTGCAACCAGGTTGCTTGGGATCCCAGTCGTTGCTTAAGTGGCTCCAATCGCTTGTTCAAAGTGTCACATGCTTTCCGCACGGCCAGACCACTCATTTCACTGGTCATGGAGTTGGCTGTCAGCATGGAGTTGGCTCCACTCACCGAGGCACGTCCAGCACAAAGGCTGCTACCTGGGCAGCCTTAGTGTTCACACCCTGTCCAATCTCTATGCCGCCGTGTGAGATTACTACCGATCCATCTTCGTGGTAGATGGCCACCTTGACCGGATAGGTGTAGGCCACTGTAGTGTTAAGAGTGAAATTCATTAGGGCCAAACCCAAACCACGTTTGCGCCAACGATTCTGTGCGTTAAAAAGATTGACCTGGGCCCGTCGCTGGCGGTACTCAGTGGTTTCCAGAAACCGTGGAAAGAGTTCTATCATTTTATAAAACAAAACATTGTAAACATTTCTTAAGGATGGCAGTGTCAAAAAATCCACAGGATTCTCGTTTATACTGCATCCGGCATCCTCGTAGTAGTTGTTAGTTAGCATGAAGATCGATCCGTTGGCCCTTGCCCGGAACTCATAGTCCGAGCGAGAAGACCAACGTTTGCCAAGGGTCTCCATCATGGACTCGATGGTCTGCACAAATCTGGTCGGGCGTCTCAGCTTGAAGGCGACTAGAGCAGCGGCGCAGGCCGCCAAGTTGCACCTGGTTTCCTTTGCGCCATAAGCTCCTCCAACTCGCATCGTCGCAGGTGTTGAGCAGCGTTAGGCACTGTCGAGTAAATAAAAGGTGTTAGAGAAAGTCCATCCTGCTGGGAGCTACCTACCGAGTTAGCTGCTCGAGATTGCACCTCCTGTGTGACTGGGTGACGCCGGCGAATGACGCAGACACAGGAGCCGCAACCGCCCTCCAGGCACATGTACTTGGTGGCCGTCAGATGTAGGTGCTGTCGCAAGAAGGCGTTGAGGGTGGTGTCCGGGGCGTAGTCCGCCGCCAGCACCTCGTAGGGAAGAGTTGACGCTGAATCTAATGCTCATCGCTGCAGAGCCGTTGGTCGAATGGAGCACTCTCGGCCAGACGCTCCTATTTCAAGGCATCGGGGAAAGCTGATTACCGGGTTATTGTGCTAAACGGGTTCGAGTTTGGATAACACCATCCAATTGCACACAGCAAAAAATTGGAAATTGGTTTTAAACATATGGCATGAAAGTTTAACTCTTTTATAAAATTTTATATATTTCAAATATATAGGGAATAACAAAGAAGCACAAATGCATTTATATTATTAATAAACACATAGTTTATTTCATCCTGAAGCTAGAAGCTTCGTGACCTGCATTCACCACCAAAGTTTCCGGAGTTGTGGGAGCTCCTAGGCGGACCCACTCCCGGGGAAGTCCCGCATCCTGGCGGGCGGAATTCAATGCCTGTCGTAGAGCGAAAACTACGCTCACGGCCAGACAACAAGGTGGCTCTCCAGTAGCCTTCGAACGCATAAAGCCCGAACCTGTAGGATTGGGTTTCTGAACCAGCTCGATACGGAAATCGATAGGTATATCCTTGGCCCCTGGCGGCTTGTAGTTCCAGGTGCGATTGGTCAACAGGCGACCCGTCTCGCGGTCGTAGACCAACTGCTCACTCATCCAGTAACCCAGGCACATGACGAAGGCTCCTTCGATCTGGCCAATATCTATGTAGGGGCTTAGGCTCTCTCCAGCGTCCTCTAGGATATCCACGCGTATAATCTGGCTGTTTCCAGTGAGCACATCGAGTTCAATTTCCGTCAACGCCAGCCCGTAGATATGGTAGTTCTGCATATCACCCTGCTTGTAATGATCCGAAGCGATTAGGTTGATGGACTGAGAGTAGGCTGCCTCTATGGTCTTCAGCCAGCTGTCATCCTTCTTCTTCACAGGCTGCAGGCGAGTGTTGAGGGTTTCACAAGCCTTGCGAACGGCAAAGCAAAGGCTTTCACTGCCCACAGCTCCGCCGGTGACCATTGAGTTGGCTCCGTTGATAGTGTCCGAGGATTCCACCTTAATGTAGCTCAAGTCGATGCCGAGGGTGTAGGCAGCCACCTGAGCCACCTTCGTATTCATACCTATAAAGATGGAAAGAGAAATTCAGTTCAAAGGGGATTCTTCACAGAACTAAGTTTACCTTGTCCCATTTCTATGCCTCCATGCGTAACCACAACTGTTCCATCCACATGGTAGATGGCCACTGTGGCCGGATACTGACCAAAGTAAAAGATTGGATAGTCCATTACCGCCAGGCCAAGGCCTCGTTTCGTCCAGCGATTCTTGGCATTATACGCCTCGATTTCTTGCTTTCTCTGAGCATAATCCCTTGACTCAAGGAATTGAGGAAGCAACTCGGAGATCTTATTATCCGCGGCAGTGTTTGCCAATCGCACTTCCGCCGGATCCTTCTGCACGGCAAAGGCTACATGCTCAATGATGTTCTCCATCATAGCAATGCCCTCCACGGATCCCGGTGCGCGACACCAGGTGGAACTGGGGGCATCTGTCAACACTGCATTTCCGTTGTTCTTGAAGTTATCGCCAGTGAAGTCATAGCAATTAGTAGCTGTAAAAGTCGAATGACCCTCGATAGGGCTTTCGTTGGGACTCCAACCAGCATCCTCAAAGAAATCGTTGGTCAAGCCCACAATCTTGCCATTAGACTTGACGTGGCACTGATAGTCGGAGCGACATGCCCACCGCTTGCCATTGCAATCCATCATGGACTCTAGGCTTTGGACGAAGCGGACAGGTCGAGTCAGCTTGTGTGCCACCAGAGAAGCGGCGCAAGCTACCTGGTTGCCACGCGAAATCTTGGATCCATAACCACCGCCAAGCCTACGAACCTGTGGGGGATGGTGTTGATTAAATCCAATTGAAAAACCTAAAAAAAAAAAACTCACCTGTAGTTGCACATCCTTGGCCTTCACCTGGAGCATGTGTGCAATAACAGACTGCGTGTGATCCATCCATTGGGTGGCCGAGAAAACCTTCAGGCCGTCCTCAAAGGGAATAGCCACCGTTGTCTGGGGCTCCATGGTAAAGTGATACTGAAGTCCCATCGTGAAGATGCCCCTAACCTCCATATCAGGGTTATCTGACAGCTTTACCTTCTTTACCGCCTTGGATACGGGCACAATGCGCGAAGGGTCAGGAGTAGAGGATGCGAATACATCATTTAAGCTTGGCTGCAGCTTAAAGTTGGGGCTGGGATTACTGTAGCTGATCTTCACCAGCTTGGCAGCCCGTTGAGCCTGATCAGCAGTTAGGGCTACGATTACACCAGCTGGCTGCTCGGAATGACGCACCAATCCAGAGCAGAATATCTCCTCGACCTGGTAACCAAAGCTGGGCTCACAGAACGTGTTCGTTCCGGGAATATCCTTTGCACTGTAAAAAGCCACAACGCCCGGTTGCTTGAGCGCTTCCGAAGCATCGATTTGATCAATGGTGGCTCCCACTTTGGTGGCCCCCACAAAGGAGCAGTAGACCGTGTTGGATGTGGTCAGCACATCGTTCATGTAGGTAGCTTCTCCAGAGCACTGGATCATGCCCTCGATCTTCTCTACGGCTTGGGTAACAGGATAGTTCTTCTTTTGGGTCTGGAAGAGCTGCAAGCCGGAGGAGAGTGGCCGCTGGAGGATCTGGCCTCCACTTCGGAATTTTGCACTGACGTCCGACTCGGGAGCGTGCTTCAGGAGAAACTTGTAGAGCAGTCCGCATGCCAATTTGGAGCGATAAGCGGGACTGGCATCGGGAAGAACCTCATCCGGTTTAATAAGATCCTCCAGCTTGCTAAAGGTCTGCTCCACCAGACTGCCCTCGTAGGGATTCTGGCCCACCAGTAGTTTTTCAATGGCTGAAGCGTGCACAAAGTCCGGACGGATTCCGCCGAAGCAAATACGGGCTGATTTTACCTTGGCGACGGAATCCAGTTCCAGAAGAAAGGCTGCATTCACATAGGCATGGGCATTCTGGGCACGAGGCATGATCTGCAAAAGGAGAAACAGATTAAAAATGCAAATCAAAGTTAAGAACAGGCATCGCACCTTGTAGGAATCGTAGATGTACTTATCCTTCGGATAAGCAGGCAGTATGAATGCCTTCAGCAGTAGTTTCCTATCGTTTGATCCTAAATAGTCCGACAGTGTCATTTCCTTCTCCTCGGTGGCTTTATTAAATGCCACCACCTTGACATTCAGAGCTTCGAATGATATGAAAATGTCCGATGGGAACTCGGGATGTTGCTTCTTAATCGAAATGTTGCCCGCCAAGGTTCCAGACTGCAGGGGAAAGAAAATGTATAAGATATCCTGTAATTATTCACACCATCTTACGTTTCGCACTGGAACATTGGCAATAAGATCGATGTGATTCCAAAGTGTATCCAAATACTCAAAGCCCGGTTGCTTGGAGGCAGTGCGAATGATTTCCATGGCTTGGGTCAGACTGAGATTAGCTCCCAGCTTCAATTGCTGTCCCTCTGCGCTGTGCTGATGCAGTTCCTCCACTCCGTTGACGTCGATGAAGTGCTTGATATCGGGCGACCTTCGGTACACTCCGTGAGCCGTATTGCCAGCCACAAGCATAAACTCATCCGAATCCCCCACTTTGTCCACAGCCTCCAAAAGCTCAGTTAGATTCCTGGGCCAATGCCACTGGCTTCCATCCTCGTAGACCAAATTGGGTCGATGGCAGCTGCCACTGCAGGCTTGTCCCGTCTTGGGGCAGTTTCGGGGCTTCAAATCCTCGATATCGGCGCACTCCGCCGGCACCTTGATGTTGCTGTCCACGGCAAATGACTTCATGGCATCCAGGATGGGACGATAGCCGGTGCAGCGACAAATGTTGCCACCAAAGGAGTTCTCCACCTCCGTCATGCTGACCTTTCCATCATTCTGCTCCAGCAGCCCGTACATGTTCATCACGAATCCCGGCGAGCAGTAGCCGCACTGGGTGCCATTCATCTTGGCCAAACGCTTCTGGATGGCATGGTAGCCAGTACGCTGGTTACCCAATCCCTCGGCGGTGACGATCTCCAACTGGGCACAGGTATTCAGCAGAGTTAGGCACTGAGGAGGGAATGAAACATTAGTGATCAAGTTGGCTAATTATCAACGCCATGTGTGTCGAACCGAGTTCACAGCCCAGCTGCGCTTTCCATCCCGCACCACACAGATGCAGGCTCCACAGCCTCCCTCCTGGCACATAAACTTGGTGGCCGTGAGCTGGGCATGTTCGCGAATAAAGGTGTTCAGAGTGATGTCCGGTGGTAGATTGGTTAGATTTACTGTGGGATCGAAAAAAAGGCAAAATACAGAAACTAGTTGGTTGAGTACGTTAAAGAACAATAAACAATGGGAATTTAATTTGCAATCTAATTTGTGTGCTCCACAGTTTTACTAATCACAATGGTTGAACACCGAAATATATGTAATTTCATGTTCCCATGGAATCAGCGGAACTAACTATCAGTCAAGTCAAGTCAGGTCTCCACTTGGCACCATAACTTTCAATATGTAGTTAGAGTTTGTTTTGGGTATATGTAACTCATTATTTTTTTGCGCATTTAAGGTTTATGCAGTTGGGGTTCTATAAGCTTTATTGCTCATTACTTTGACTTAGTGGTTTACCCTTGCGAAACTGAATTAAAAACACTCACCCGTGTAAGGCATTCCGTTAATGGTGAACTTTGTCGTCATTTCGCGTATTTTCTCAACAACGACAACAGAGCAAACAAGTCCCTTAATGTCAGCTGGTATAGTGTTTTCTATTAATAAATAGTTTCAATTAGTTGTTGACTTTTGCCTAGGTTTTCCATTATATTTTCCACTTGCTACTCACTGGTGCCTCCGTTCGCCGCGAGTGTTGCTGTTCAACTGATCGCGAAATCAAATCAAAGTCACCGTTCTCCGATTGCGATATTCTTGGCAGCCGTAAGGAGTCACTTTCGCAACACAATCAAGCTCCGTTTGAAAGTAACAACAAATGGCTTTGTGTTTCGTGCTTGACGAGCGACGTTAATTGCAGTTGGTTGAGGCTCCTCAGCTCCTCCATCGATGGTGGCTAACAACTGCCGGCGGACTGGCGGCTAGGTCTATATGTAGCTCCGCTCTCCGATTTTCGGCAGCTGTGAAGTAGTCACGATATCGGCGAGAACTGAAAATGAAAATAAAAGAGAAAAGTGGCACAGCTATAGCTATGGTATTCTAAATCGATGGATACCCTATCTTTCAGTATTAATATTATTATTTTACAACTGACTTTCTTATTAGTCAAATTTAAACGCCTAGTAAGATACTTAGTCTTTATGAGAAAACATACGAAAATTATCATCTAAATGATACTGAATACTGAATTAAACACTATGTAAGGTTTTACAAACATTAATTACACACCTATTTATAGGGTAAATCAAAACAACAAAAATAAATAACAAAATAAATAACTAACAATGCAAACCGAGCGACTTCATAATGAAGTTCAAATAATGATAAAAATGCACATTTATTTTCGATTGCATGTACATAGTTATCATTTTGATTGGGCTATCAGTGCAAATTATATATATTTTTTTGTGTAGCCTCGTTTGATATAATAGTGACTAAGCAAAATGGGCTGAGACTTACTAATCTGTTTATAATCTTTGTTCAGCCCACAGAAAAATGCAACAAAAGAGAACAAAACTAAGTCACGTGTACACTAAAAATAAAGAAGAGGCAGATGGTAAAGAATAAAAAGAGAGTGAGCCGGCCGGCATAAATACTACACAAATGTGTATGTATAAATATATATGTTTGGTAATATGTATTTTCTCTCTCCCTCTCGTAAACAATATTTTCATGCTCACAGCTTTGCAAACAAATAAATTATTTCAAAAGCTCTGACTTTGAAATAACTTCTAGCAAAAAAACTAGAAATTCAAGCTTTTGAGTGATATAAATCATCGGGAAAGCTTGCATTTTTTAAAGTTATTTATAAAATGTTAGCTCAAAGCATTTTTAAACTGCAGCAGAAAGATAATTTTACAAATAAAGCTTTTAAAGTTGATGAAAATCGAATTATTTAACTATTTGTTTGGAAGAATTAAAACTTTTGTTATGATTTTATAAAGTTGAAGTTCCAAAGAAATTTTAGAAGGGTTATAAGGTCGTAAGGTAATAAAGTTAATTTTTAGCTTCGTTATCATCCTCTATTAAATGAATCGATATAAATACATAGTTTTAGGTAAAGTCCCTTTAAAAGTGTTCCTACTTTAGCTTAAATTCTGCCACTTGGTGACCTGCGTTAAGCAACAAGGTCTCTGGTGTTGTGGGTGCCCCCAGGCGAAGCCATTCCCGCGTTAAGCCTGCATCCTGGCGGGCAGATTGCAGAGCCTGCTGCAGGGCAAATATCACGCTGACTGCTAAACAGCATGGAGGTTCCCCAGTAGTTTTTGAGCCCATAAATCCAGCTCCACTGGGCCGCTGACTGTGCACCAGTTCCACGCGAAAATCAATGGGAATATCCTTGGCCCCCAGAGGCTTGTAGTTCCAGGTGCGATTGGTCAGCAGGCGACCATTGTCACCCTCGTAAATGAGCAGTTCGCTGAGCCAGTAGCCCAGGCCCATGACAAAGGCACCCTCCACTTGGCCCACGTCGATCCAGGGGCTTAGGCTTTCACCTGCATCTTCTAAGATGTCCACTCGCCGGATCAGAATGTTTCCCGTGAGCACATCCATTTCCACTTCGGTGAGAGCCAGTCCTAGCACATGATAGTTTTGCATGTCACCGGTCTTGTAGTGATCCGAGGCCACCAGATTGATGGACTGGGCATGAGCACCTTCCACGGTGTCCAACCAACTGGCCCTGGCCTTCTTCACCGGCTTCAAGCGGGCATTGAGGGTCTCGCAGATCTTGCGAACCGCATAGCAAACACTCTCACTGCCAATGGCATAGCCAGTGACCATCGAGTTGGCTCCGTTTAAGGTGTCCGAAGATTCCACCTTGATGTAGCTCAAGTCGATGCCAAGGGTGTACGCAGCCACCTGAGCCACCTTCGTATTCATACCTATTAAGAAAGATAAAGTTAATTCAAAAGGGGAATCAGAAACAGAAACAGAACTCAGTCTACCTTGTCCCATTTCTATTCCACCATGCGTAACCACAACTGTACCATCCACATGGTAGATGGCCACTGTGGCCGGAAACTGTCCAATGTAAATGACAGGGAAGTTCATCACGGACAGGCCCAGGCCGCGTTTTATCCATCGGTTGTTTGCATTGTGACTCTCAATCTCCTTTTTTCGGCCGTAATACTCCCTCGACTTGAGAAATTCCTGCAGCACAGTTGACATCTTGCTCTTCTTGCTGATGTTAGCCAAGCGGACCTCAGCAGAATCCTTTTGGATCTCAAATGCCACATGCTCAATGATGTTCTCCATCATGGCAATGCCCTCCACAGAACCCGGAGCACGACACCAGGTGGAACTGGGGGCATCTGTGAGTACTGCATGTCCACTTAGCTTAAAGTTGCTATCGGTAAACTCGTAGCAATTCGCTGCCGTGAAAGTGGAGTGTCCTTGCACAGGACTCTCGTTTGCATTCCAGCCAGCGTCCTCAAAGAAATCGTTGGACAACCCGACTATTCTACCGTTGGACTTGACGTGGCATTGATATTCGGATCGACAGGCCCAACGCTTGCCATTGCAATCCATCATGGACTCGAGGCTTTGGACGAAGCGAACAGGACGATTCAACTTTCGGGCAGCCAAGGAGGCGGCACAGGCCACCTGGTTTCCTCGGGAGATTTTGCAGCCATAGCCACCGCCCAGACGGCGGACCTGCAAGAGAAAGTACTGATTATGTCTATGGGATTTTATATTTTAACCCTCTACCTGAAGTTGCACATCCTTGGCCTTCATCTGAAGCGCATGTGCAATCACAGCCTGCGTCTGGTCCATCCATTGGGTGGCCGAGAAGACCTTGAGTCCATCTTCAAAGGGAATGACCACCGTTGTCTGGGGCTCCATGGTAAAGTGATACTGCAGACCCATTTCGAAGATGCCCCTGACCTCCACATCGGGTTTGTCAGAGAATGTCACCTCCTGCAGCTTTGATATAGCCAAGGGCAGGATGCGAGACGGATCTGGAGTTCCGCTAGAGAATACATGCTTCAGGGTGCACTGCAGCCTAAAGTCGTAACTAGGATTACTGTAGCTGATCTTCACTAGCTTGGCAGCCCGTTGAGCTTGGTCAGCAGTGAGGGCCACGACTACACCAGCTGGCTGTTCGGAGTAACGAACAAATCCTGAACAGAATATCTCCTCCGCCTCGTAACCAAAGCTTGTTTCACAGAAGGTGTTCGTTCCGGGAATATCCTTTGCAGTGTAAAATGCCACTACTCCGGGGTGCTGGAGAGCTTCCGAAGCATCGATTTGATCAATGGTGGCTCCCACTTTAGTGGCCCCCACAAAGGAGCAGTAGACCGTGTTGGATGTGGTCAGCACATCGTTCATGTAGGTGGCTTCTCCAGAGCATTGGATCATGCCCTCCAATTTCTGCACTGCTTGCGTGACCGGATAGGTGCTTTTCTGGGTCTGGAAGAGCTGCAAGCCGGAGGAGAGCGGCCGCTGTAGCAGCTCGCCGCCACTCTTGAACTTTGCACTAACATCCGCCATGGGAGCATGTTTCAGAAGAAACTTGTAAAGGAGTCCACAGGCCAACATTGAACGATAGGCGGGACTGGCATCGGGAAGAACCTCATCTGGCTTGATCAGGTTTTCCAGCTTGCTAAATGTCTGCTGCACCAGATTAGGTTCGTAGGGACTGTGTCCCACCATCAACTCTTCAATGATTGAGGCATGGACAAAGTCTGGACGGATTCCGCCAAAGCAAATCCGAGCGGACTCTACCTTTGAGTCAGAATCAAGTTCCAGAAGAAAAGCGGCATTCACATAGGCATGGGCATTCTGGGCACGAGGCATGATCTGCGAAGGGAGATACAGGTTTAAAATGCAAATCAAAGTTAAGAACAAGCATCGCACCTTGTAGGAGTCGTAGATATACTTATCCTTCGGATAAGCAGGCAGTATAAATGCCTTAAGCACAATATTTCTGTCGTTATCCTTTAGAAATTCCTCCAGAGACATTTCCCTCTCATCTCCAATACTTTTCAGAGCCATCACTTGTACATCCAATGCCTCAAAGGATATAAAGATATCCGATGGGAACTCAGGGTGTTGTTTTTTCGTTGAAATATTGCCCGCCAAAGTTCCAGACTAAAAATTGAGAGCTTAGAAAGGTCAAAAAGGTCAGATGTGTACTCACATTGCGAACTGGAACATTGGCCACAAGGTCTATATGATTACACAGAACCTCTAGATATTCGAAACCCGATTGCTTTGACGTCGAACGAAGTATCTCCATGGTCTCTGTCAGATTAAGATTTGCTCCCAAAGTCAGTTTGTCCCTTTCAGAGCTGTGCTGATGCAGTTCCTCTACTCCACTCAGGTCGATAAAGTGCTTAATATCGGGAGATCTCCTATAGACACCATGGGCAGTGTTGCCTCCCACTAACATGAACTCTTCCGAGTCCTCGACATTGTCCAACGCCTCAAATACCTCTGCCAAGGTGCTTGGCCAATACCATTGATGTCCATCCTCGTAGATTAGTTTGGATCGCTGTCCGCTGCACTTACCCTTACAGACTCCTCCCGTCTTCGGACAGTTGCGGGCCTTTAGGTCCAGATCCTCAATGTCAACACACTCCTTGGGAACCAGAATGTTGCTGTCCACGGCAAAGGACTTCATGGCATCCAGAATAGGACGATAGCCGGTGCAGCGACAAATGTTGCCCCCAAAGGCGTTCTCCACCTCCGACATGGTCACTCTTCCCCCGTGCTGCTCCATCAGGCCGTACATGTTCATCACGAATCCCGGTGAGCAGTAGCCACACTGGGTGCCATTCATCTTGGCCAGCCGCTTCTGGATGGGATGGTAGCCGCTCTGCTGGTTGCCCAATCCCTCGCAGGTAACGATCTCCAGCTGGGCGCAGGTATTCAGCAGCTTGAGGCACTGCAAAGACGGCGTGAGAGGTGCTTAATTCCGGAGCTGAGGATCTGTTGATCTCTGACCTTACCGAATTGACGGTCCAGGTGCTCTGCCCATCGCTCACAGCACAGACACAGGCCCCACATCCTCCTTCCAGGCACATGAACTTGGTGGCCGTCAATTGGGCGTGCTCCCGGATGAAAGTGTTCAGCGTGATGTCCGGCGGGAGGTCGCTGAGGTTAACTGAGACGTTAAATGTATAGATTGGGTTTAATTTAACTGATTAGTCCTTATCCTTCATTATTATCCTTATTAGTTAGCATCCTTTACCCCTATAAGGTTGTCCATTAATGGTAAATGTGGTAGACATTTGACCTTTGTAAACTTTTTGTTCTAGGATTCTTTACTCGCTGCAGATACGATCTCTGCTGAACTGACAAGCTTTTAGGTCAGAACCTCCTAATATTCTCTTTTCCCCACCATTGACATATTGAATATTTACCATTGTTATTTAATAAACAAAGAAAAACTCAATGAAAATTGATGGTAATTGCATTTTCTCGGTTTGTTGAATTCATTCATTCAAAATTTGTATACATTATTCGCCTTTGTTGGGCTGCAATTTCCATTATTTGATATGTCGATTAGCGTAGCTAACTGATTCTATTAGCAAACCATTTTCCGAGCTCTATTTGCCTCTGTTTGGATTTATTAAATTTAATTTTTGATTGGCCAACATTTAGGTATAAAAATACACCTTTATGTAAAGCACACTTTTAGTCCTAACAAGCCTTAATGTTCTTTCATATTGGCTCTCTTATCGCCTTTCGGATTTTGTATCTTGACGCGCGTTAATTAATTAAATACATGTTCCCTCCTCGTTGTTTCTTTTATTAACTCGAAGGGAAACCGAAAAAAAAAACTGTCAACTCATTGGTAAATCATTTGTCAAAATATAAATCGATGTTTCCTTTACGTGGAACGGTCGAAAAAGGGTCGGCCAGACGAACACAAAAAATGTTACATAATCATGCACAAAAAACATGCAGAACAAGAACCAATCCCAACAACAAAGCCACCGTTCCGCCCTTGCACCTTATCGATATTCAAGAATCGTTTTCCAAACACAAAGTAATCATAAGAAAAAAAAACGACAGAGACCAGAAAAAATGATGGGGAAACTTTAAACAAGTAAAATTAAAATATGAATAACGCAATCTTTTCTCACATGGCTAAGCATTTTGGTTATAGGAATCGGAGGCAACCCGCTGTCAAACAGGTAAGCAGAGGGTTAAGCCGGCAACGGGACGGGTTCGGGGACGATGGATTCTGTTGTTGGGGGAGTGTCCATTGTTGGCCGTTTCTTCTCTCTTTTTTTGGAGCTGTCATGCATAATAAAATTCCAATATATTCGACCGTACGCCTTCGCCCTGTCTTCGTTCTCGATTGCGGATCCTTATCAAACGAGAAAAGTGACGTGAGCACCACCGCCTGCCCCCAGCTCCACTCCAACTCCGACTTCGGGACCAGTCTCATCTCCACATCCAGATCCCGACCCATAAGATGATGCACAGACAGGGAACCTGGTCAGCAATCGAGGCGGACCCACACCCTGGCAGAGTGTTGGGTTTTATTGGCCCACGGCCATTTGATGCTCGGCTGATGACACTGACCCACTGATAGTCGGCCAAAAACCAAAAACCAAAAACCAGAGCCAAGCCCAGGTCAGGAAAGGCAAGGTGAGACGCCCCTTTAGCTCATTCCATAAATATGCCAGGTTGGAGGAAGGCCCTCTCTCGCCTTGGGGGCATGGAGATTAGCCAAAGTTTGCACCGAAACTTTTCGCATCGAAATAGTGAAAGAAAAAGTGAATAGATGAAGTCTAAACTTGTGGGACTTCATTCGGTTCACTATAAAAATAATTGGAAGACCAATGTGTGAAAAATAAAGTTGTAAACTTTTAATATCATATTATATTTCAAAAAAGTTTGACTAATTTCTAAAGCTTACACTTACTCAAAATATTGATATTCAGATATTACCTTATCCATCCTTATTTAACGATTTCCAAAAACAAGGCACTCCATCATTCGGCTTCCTTCTCTTCTCTGGACAAGCCACCGACCGGCCTTTTTATTTTATAATATCGATGATAGAGGTAAGGGGAGACTGAAATAAATGGGTAACTACTCGATGGTGACACTGTTAACCCTTTGTCACTTCCATTGACAGTTCAATAATGCGTCATTTGGTGTGTGTCAGGGCTGTTGGAGATGGGACTACACAAGTTCTCTTTCCAAGGATTCAGAGGGGGGAGAGGACTCTGAACACTGCTGTCACATCAAACTGGACAAAGGAAAGGCAGGGTACTGCCAGCAGGTATCCGTGGTTCTTCATCGGGAAAGGGTAAAATGGGGATTTTTATGCGACTTAGAGAGAAATTAAGAATCATTTAGAGTTATTTTTTTCTTTAAATCAATATTGAATTAAAAGAAAACAATGACTGACTCAAGACCACATAACTATTTGAAACAAAAACGGTTCTAATGCAAAGTTTAGGTTTGCGTAAGAGTATTATACTTTCAGCTATTGCAAAATACTATTCCCTGAATTTGTGGGGTCTTTTGTTGGCCATCATCATCTTGGCTTTCATTGGCTTGTTGGCTTGAGTCTTCCGCAACCGCAGAACTCGTCGGGTTCTTCTGGCTGGCGATGCTCTTGTCGCCTGTCGGATGTCACATTAAATTCACGTTATTTGCTTGAAATAATTTCGCGTTTATCGGTCTGGGCCAGTCGTTGTATACATGTGGCCCAAGGGTTAAAGGAGGGACACCAGGACACCAACAGGACTTGGCAATTTAATGACTTGTGCTGCAGCAACTGGCAGCTTCTTTATGGATCGGTTGATAAATGATTGCACTTTGGATATGTTTATGCGGCCGAAATGCCATTTAATTGATTCATCAGCGCTCCATTATTGATTAGCTCGGTGGCTTTTGAGTCGCTTTCAGTTTTGGGTTACCTGGCAATGGAGCCACCCAGGTGCAAATGGGATCGGTTCGTGATCGGAAACGGGGCTGGGCTGGGACACTGCACCTGCTGTTGCCTCACCCCTTCAAAAGTGGCCCAGAAACTGTCGTCGAACTCGTTTGTGGCAGACAAATGGAAATTAAAACACCATTTAACATTTCTATTTTTACGAGTTCAGTGGAAAATCCATAAAAACTCTTTAAACGGAACGAACGGAGACCCGCCGTCATTTCTATTGGCGACAAATAAACAAATAACGAATTTTATATTTAAGTGAAATGAGCTTTGCAGGCAACAAAGCAGACAGCGGAAACCTAATTGAAAGAAGCCACGCAAATTGAGTTAACCAAGCGGAAAACCAGGCCATTAAATTCCAACTCTGCAGTGGGAGTTGGCCTGCTCCGAGTGCTCCATGGACAGGGTTGTGGGATCGGAATCGGAATCGGATTCGGACTTATAGAGCAGAGCAGAGGGAGCACCACGCACAGTAACCAGTTCGATTCGATTCAATTCCGTTCGATTTATGGCATTCGCAATTGTGTGGCAATTTAATAGCAATTTGCTGTTGAGCCCGAAAATTGACGAAACTTTGATGAAATGCAATTGGAAACTTGTCACGACTGCAGACCGAATTGTAACAATGGTAACTGAACAATAACAATAACTTGTCTCTGGGCCTAGCAAACTATATGGATCAGAAATTGAAAGTTGAATTGGGTTCAATTTGGGCACTTGCAATATTGAATTTCCTTCTTAAGACTACAAGTTTTGTCTGACTTAACCTGAATTAAGTGGTCGAAAGGGATATTCCACTTAAGATTGAGATTTCATGTTTTCATAATACTTATCTTTAGTTTTAAATATATGAAGTTGTCTCTGAAGCTATCTCTCTAAGTTTTCGGCACTTATTTGATTTGTCTTTTTCTCTTGGGTTTACCCACACAAATGTTCCTCTTTTTGCACAACTTGGCAAGGCGCCTACCTAGCCGATAAAGCCAAAGATAAGTCGGCCGACGACGAACAGCAAAACATTAAGATACAAAGATAATATAAAACAAGAGACGGAAGACTTTTAGACACTCGAATCGAAGATCAGATGCTCTGGAATAAGGACATACTAATTTTCTGCTGGAAATATAAACCTGCTCCCTAAGTTTTAACAATTTAATAATGTAATAAACTTAAAAGAGTCGAAGCCACAATTTTCTGAAATTACAAATTACAAATGCATGTCATGTTATTTATTCTAATTTATTTAAAAAGATTTAAGCATGACTCTTTGCTTTTCAATCTCTTCAATTAATTTAGTATCTCCGTTTAGGGTATCTGCTGGATGGAAGAGACAAGTCACATAAAAAGTAGGCGCGATAAATTATTAAGTGACTGTGACGGGCGACTCCTGGCCCCAGCTTCCGCTCCAGCTCCTCCTCGGCTACAGGCTTCGTCCTTTCCCCCCCTGTCGGCTTGCCAGTCATCCTCCTGTGGTGTGGAGTTTGTCACCCGACGTTGGCTGGCCTTATCTTCGGATGACGGTGTTATTTCTGTATGGCTTTATTTTATTTATTTTTTGGTTGTTACTTGGGCTGCCTCAATCTCCCTGCTTTCCCTCTCTCTGCTCAACTGTGGGAGCCAACAACTTAATTTGTGATTTATTTTTTGCTGTTGTTTTTCGGCGAGGAATAGTTTGCGAGACTCGTACTGCCTGCTGTGGAGTTGCTTAATTTATAAAATGAGCAAAAAAAATTAACTGACGTTGATAATAAATCAATTTCCTGCCTACACATTAAATTATACAGTTAATAATAAGCCGGCATGGACCGGGCCCACGTCTGGAGCTGAGGTCTCTGGACCTGGTCCGGGTCCCTCGCTTCCTGTCTCCGCCCCGAAACTGGTCCTCGATCTTACGCCTCTCAGACTCAGTCTCAGTCGCAGTCTCAGTCTCTGCTCTTTATCTTGCAAATCCATTTGCATCTCATCAAGTTTTGGCTTAACACTCAGTGCCAGTCGCCTGGCGATTTGGATATCCGTGGATTGCGTGTCTTCGCCAATTTGTTGGCAGATTAAACAAATTTCCTGCCAACGGCCAACGCATATGCTGTGGCCCGACAGGTAAACCTATTCTACTTTTGTTTAGATTGCATGCATCTTGTTAACATTGGTATAACATTCTGCCAGCATCAGTATAGAGACCTAATGAATCATTTCTGAAAGTT